GGAACATACATACACACACACATAGACACAGGCATACATGCATAGACACACAAAGACACAGACATACACAGACACACACAGGCACAGACATACACAGACACACACAGGCACAGACATACACACACACACAAAGGCACAGACATACACACACACACGCAAAGGAACATACATACACACACACATAGACACAGGCATACATGCATAGACACACAAAGACACAGGCATACACAGACACACACAGGCACAGACATACACAGACACACAAAGGCACAGACATACACACACACACAAAGGAACATACATACATACATACACATAGACACAGGCATACATGCATAGACACACAAAGACACAGACATACATACACAGACACACAGACACAGATGTACATACATAGACACACAGAGACACACAGACATAGACACACACATACACAGACACATAGACAGAGACAGAGATACACACAGATACACACACATACACACACACAGAGACACACAGACATAGAGACACACACACAGACATACAGACACACAGACACACACACGCAGACATACAGATGCCGCGACGAGTCTGCGCGGGGGACGTCGAGGTTGAAGAGTCAGCTCATGTAGATGGTTGCAGCTAAACGTTCTCTCTCCCATTATCCTTTCCAGCCTCCCTTTTATACCCTTAATCCCAGGATGTTGGCCTGGGGGCAGGAGGAAATCTCCCTCCCATGTGCTGCTGCGATCAGGGTGGATATTAATCAGTTGCCCAAAGGTTAAGCCACTCACACAGGTGGCAAGATGTCTTCTTCCTATTATGATCTTATGCTTAAGCTCCGGGGGTGGTTGGGGAGGCTCATCCCGGCTGGGACCCAACATACAGACATACAGACACACACATGACTCGATGGAATGTTCATCATGTTGCAGGATGGTGCTGAGAGCTTTCCAAGGGTATTCCAGAGTCATCTCTAGCTAAACTTTCTTCATTGCGCCAGTTTTGTAGACAGGCAATTTTGTAATTTGGCCAAGGACATTAGTGAGGCTGTGCAGGACTCTGCTGCAGTGACACATCGGCCCAGACCTCAGCGGCTGCCAAGAGACGGTTGATTCCGTCGGGTTGTGGTCTGAGGAGGGCAGCTGCTCCCCGCAGGCACCTAGGGGTTCCCGGACCCTCACAGCATGAAGAGGGGCCTCACTGCTGCGGAAGGAGGGAGCGGCGGGGTCTCGCACGAGGTTCTGGGGACAGGGGCCGCCAGCACTTGCGCCGCCAGCCATTTGCCAGA